CGAGTATTGACGGTTGCTCATATGGCTCTGAATCAACTTAGAGTGTAGGCGTAATTGTCATTGCCCGCCATGGCTCGTGCTCGCAGAGTCACTAGCTGTGTTGCAATTTGGCTCTCCCCTTTATGCTTCCTCTGGCCTTGTTTCCCCAGTGACTCCCGTGCCACCTGTGCCTGCACTCTGGCCGCGCGCTCATGGTTTGTCGGAATTTTGGGCTCTCTCATTCCGCTTCGAAACTCCATCCCTCCGTCTGCGTCGGCCGCTAAATGTCGTCCCTTCATCATGTTTTGGCTCTAGGCGCTGTGGCTGGGTATGCTCATCACTTCTCAAGCACTTTCAGCGCTGCGTTGCTTGGCACTCTGCTCTGTATAGCCCTCTTTTGTCACGCTCAGAATACAAGTCGCAATTGGAACAGAGCCCTGGGGTAATTACTAAAGCTGCATGCGTCTACTGCGGTTGTTGGGAAGCCGCTACACAGGGCAGCTGGGCCTGGGCTTGACCAGCGCATCACTGCCAGGGACCCGGGATGAACAGTGGTGCAAGAACCGTGCTCCTCCTCTCCTCCTTCTTCTGCCAACAGGCTTCACACCTCTCTCTCTGGGATCACTCTCTTCCTCTCCTGCTCCTTCTTTTGGACCCTGCATGTTGCCAAGCCCCGATTAATGCTATGACCACAGACCAGAGTAAATCCAAAGAAGCGTGGTTGTGGTGACGGTGAGTACCCTCCCCCAATTCCACCGACCCGATCCGTGAAAACTCCTCGAACAGGCCTGCAACATCTTCTGGTGCCCCCATACTGTGACTCTTGTGACGACCTCTCACAAAGAACCCACACCATAACGCTGATGACGAGAAATACGTCCAATAGAGACGAATGCCGGTCTTAATTGGCCAGCTAAGGCGGACCTAATAGCCTAGTCCTTGGTCCTGGAAAGATGGAATCCCACAAAGATCTGTGTTAATAAAGGGTCCGGGAACCAATTTGCAAGAAGTCAAAGAGCCGCTGACATCTGTTCATACACAGAACGAATTCGATGCCGTCTACTGCCTGGGAGGCGATAGGCCAAAGGCTCAGGCTAGGAAAGCAACGAGTCGAGCCCCAGGGAGAAAATAGCTAACGACTCCAACTTATGGAGCCAGAATGTAGCCTGCGAGCAACCACAGCCAAACCTACTGTTTTGCGCAAGCAGTGATGAGGCAGGCAATTTCGCAGTAGCAACCTGCTTGCATTTTCGAAATCGCAAGCTTATCTGTATCCACAACCTCCTAGGGACGGCAATTGGCATTGTGACAAGCACGGGAGTCAGGCGTACTGTCACAAGCTAAAGTCAATGTGCGTAAGAGCAAGTAGTGAGATTCTCACCACGGACCATCTTCAGCCTCGGTGAAACCTGTTTGATCTGAAAATTGTTGCGGTCGCTGGAAATTAAAAGAATCAAGCTTGATGCGTTGCTGATGCTGATGTAAAATGTGTCTGTGTACCAAAAAGTCTGTACAGTCCAGGCCAAGCTGGAACAAACTACACGAAACAAGCGTGGTGCCATGTCTACATGATAGCTTTGCAGAAGACGCCAGTGCTTGCGCAGCATATTCACCACATAATCAGTGAATGTCTCTGGATGGCAAGCGTCTCTGCAAAGCACTTGCACTGATTGACACAGTATGGCTTGCTATCACCATTTCTCAATCATCAAAATCTTCTTCCGCCTGAGCAACTGGAGATGCGCGGTCTGGCGAAACATGCTCAATCTATCGCCGCCGTTCCTCATTCCTCATGGCCTCTTCATCCCCATCTCTTACAGCCAAAGGTATTGCACCTCAGGATACAAAGTTCGGCAGCAGCGCAACACGATACATACAAGCATCACTGGGAACGGCTCCGTGTATAATCTTCTCACCAAAAGACAACCGAACATCGTAGTCGCCAGCTTCCATTCCAGATGGAACCTTGCTCCATCAACAACTAGCCTTGGAGCCCTTTGTCTTCACAGTTGCCCGGCCTCCACACATAACTTCTTGCCTTTCTTAACACCAGTTGGCCTAAGTGCTGCACCAGCATGTGCAGGCTGTTGTTATTGTGAATTCTGAGTCATGAGCACCAACTTCTTCTGCACAGGTCCATTGACCAGGACTATGCCCAGTCCTGCGAAAACGCTTCCATCTACGTGCTACAAGCCTGCAATGCTGTCGGATACGATCGCTCAACAAACAACTGAGCCCCTGGCTGTCCCAAAAGCCCTGAGGTACCTGGACAGTGTGCTGAGCTCAACCTTACGCTGAAGAAAAAGCGCTCAGTGCCCTGACTTCAGATGCCTCCTTGCGCAGGCTAACAACCACCTTGCCACCCGAGGTTGGGACCTTGACAAGGCTTGAGATGACACTTTCAGACCTGGACGTCACGCCTTGACGCCTGTGGCAGATCTGGGAGCGCTGACCCAGCAGGGCTTGACGGAAGATAGGCGCTGGCCGTCCACAAGGCCGGGGATGAGACCCTCACCTGTGGCCTGAGGATATTTTCATGTCAAAGAGGATGTTGCCACTTGGCGGGCTGAGACCCAGGCTGTACTGAGCTTGCTGATGCTGCTGTGGACAGTACTAGGTTTTGACCAGGCAGACGGTACACCTGCATCAGAGCTGCCTTGCACAAGTTCAATAGAATTAAATGCATGGGCCAGCTCAGCTGCAGACTACATTGGCTCCCCATCTCCCAAGCCCATTCGTTCATGTCACCTGGCATTTCAAAACCTCATCGCCTGGTCATGGTCTCTAGGCATGAAACTGAGATGGGAGCTAAGTCCACCAAGCTTGTTCTGAGCTGTCAGGGGTGTGACATCTCCAAAGCCTGACAATGAACATGCACGCAGGGCGTCGCCAAATAAAAGGGTGCCAGGCAGCAACGAGCTTGGCAGTTGCCGCCTGTAGCTGATTGGCGTACATCGCCGCACTGAGGTGTTGTCAGAGTCGGTGACCTTAACTTACGAACTGTTCTTGACACCTTAACATGCCGATCAGATTCAGTGAATCGTTCAGCTTAGCGGCGCATTAGGCCCCAAAGGGCATATCAAGCCGCCCAAGGGTGAAGCCTCTGGAAGCATTGGAGCCTCTGCACCGAGGCGAGAAGAAGCGGCAAGATCAGACGCTAGCAATCAAAAAGCTGCCTCCGGTATCCTCATCTGTGCCGGGGAGTCCTCGCGCAAAGCCGCAGCAGGAATTTGCATGCTTTCCGGATCTTGCCGGCTTCCACAAGATCTCAGAAACTCAGCCTGCGGTGTCCTTTTCAAAAGGCAAGGGTAGCGTGGGCCCCAGAGGCAGCAAACGCGGTTCTGCGTAGCCCGACATGGTGCTCCACTCTACACCTGCTCTATAAGATTTTTAAACTTGCAGAATATTTCGGGGACTACGAGGCGGCTACGTCTGTGAAAGCTGCGCATGATGTGCTTCCTTTCTCGCATTCGAACAGAACAGCTTGAGAACCATGCAGCATGCAACCTTGCGAAATTGGAACAGGCAATGCTGGCTCGTCCCTGGCAATAGACTTCTGAAACACTTGCTCCTCTTTCTCGTCCACAGTCGTTAGGCGTCAAGAAGGGCAGCTTCCTTCGTCCTCTGTCCTTCCCTTGGCTCCGGCCAAGCTGCTCCGGTCAGCTCCACAAACTCCTGGGCCACACGTTGTCTTGATCAAAGTTCATGTGCCCGTCTAGCTGCTCTCTATTCGGTCTCTGGGAACTTCAGGTAACATCTGATGGTTCGGGTGACTTGGGGCCGTTTTGTTAGAATGGAACTCAATTTGGCATGCAGGGTCTCAGGCAAAGGCTGACATATTTCAAGATCTTGCACTCAGGATCTTTATGCCCTGTGTTTGTTCCGAGGTTTGTGGAGAGGGGATGCAGGCTTGCAATATCGGCATGAAGACTGGCAGCAGCATTTCATGGTGAGGACTGATGCTGGCTCTGCAGGACGCAAGGTGGACAAGTGTGGAGATGCACTTAAGTGAAGATGTTGGAAAGACCCCCCCCCTTCCCGTTCCCCACCCCATCCCCCAACTTCTCGATTTGCCCATCCTTGCGCAAAGAAAACACAGAATTCTAGGATGTTCTAGGATTTTCTAAGCTTTTCGATGGCTTTCTAATCTTTTTCAAGACTTCTAAAATTTCTAGAAGATTCTAGGGTTTTGGACTTCTGGAATTTCCGAGGAATTCGTAAGATGCTCCAAGGATGTTCAATCATTTATCGAAATGCTTAGGATTTTTTACATTCATCTTATAATATAGAGGAAAATTTAGCTTCCACGGGCGATCGGGAATAGATTATGGGCAGGGTTGTACTAATGATGTTGGTAAGAGCTGATCATGAGTTTAGCTTCACAACGGCTGAGAGATACACACATTTAAAACCTAGATCCCTGGACACAAAGCCTCACAACAAATCATTTGCATCAAATGCATGTAAAATTTGCTAGCTTCCCCTAGCTTTCTTAAGCCTCCAGAAAGCTGGGAAAATCTTACAATCATGACACAGATCCTGCTGGGAGGGTAGGGTGGGGGGGCTGACATACGAAAAGGCAGGGAGGTGGGGGGCTGGCTTGTAGAAGTGGGGGGAAGGGATTGCAGAGCTCTCAAGGACCTGGGCCTTGCAACTACAGCTAGGGCAAAGCTCTCGTAAGAACACGCAACCCCCACTCCCAACGCCAAAGTAGTCTGCGGCAGATGGAAGGCCACTGACCAAGAAGGGAGCGTCTTGGTGAAAAGGCAACGTGGCGAGTTTGTTTGTCCTCATACTGAATCTGCAGTTTTTGAGAAGCCAAGCCAAACTGGACTGATTACGGTCTCTAATAGTGCCAGCACAGAGGAGCAAGTTTCCTCAAAGACTCTTCGCGCCGTTCTCTCCTCATGCGGAAACTGAGCAGAGTCTCTTGTTACTCAAGCCTGTTGAACTCCCACACGTTGACATTAGAGATTTCAGCAATGTAACACCAGAAGTGCTTGGAAACATCCCTATCCAGCTGCAGCCATCCTCACCTGACCGGTTCTCATGAGAGCAGGAAGCCTAAAGTTTTGTGCTTTGCGACACACCGTTCAGATTTCAGTGGGAGAGAAGAAGCGGAACGGGGAGTCGACATAAGGCCCTTCAATTTCACTCTTGGGGTCAGCAGCCTGAGTCTGTGCAAGTGTATGACTGACTAACTAACTAACTAACTAACTAACCCAAGAGCATTCATGCGCTCAACAGTCTCCATAGCGTCAGGTGTTGGAACCAACGCACAATTTGGAATCTTGACGGCGCGAAGCCACCATTCCATGCATTTCTATGTCGAATGTCCAAAAGCTCTCGCGTACAGCCCTCGCAGACTGGAAGCATACTACAAGGCTAGCGACTGGGCATCGAAATCTGATTGGACGAAGATTAGAAGTAACATCCTGCAAGACCGGCATATGGAAAGTTCCCCCCAACACAGGCTCCAGTGTGGATTTAAGTGTTGAACATGAACAGACACTGTACTCAGATTGAGCACAACCGAACTGCAGACCCCTGCGCTGGTGATGGAAGGGGTAGAAGAGGGGCGAGGGGTAGCAGGGCTCTTTGGCATTCGCAGCTCTGTGTTTTCCCATGACTGAGGCCTGCGCTGAACTGCATGATGCAGGATCTAGAGAAGCTGGTTGCTCAGCATAAAGCATTTGGACTTGTGACTTCTTGTTTAGCTTGCTCAGCTTAGAGGTCTTTCTGCAATGGCGGGCCAGTAGAATAATCAGATTGGGCATGCGTACTTTGCCTCTCTGGCTAGATCCCAGACTTTTGACTGAGCAAGGTAGTCGGAACAGGACGTAATAAACATTGAGTTCGCACGCCACACATGATTCCTGGCTGTTTGAATGTTTCATGTTGTTTGGGCGGGATGGGTTGGGGGGTCGCGGTGGGTGTGGGGGGTGGAGGGTAGGGGGGGGGGTGGGGTTGGTGGGGCTTGGGGTGGGGGGGTTGGGGTGGGGATGGGGTGGGGGCGGGGCGAGGGATGGGCGTCCATGTGATTCTCCATTCACGCACCCTTAGAGCCTAAGCCCGTGTAGAAGTTTCCATTTTCTTTGCCATTCTGTCCGAAGTCCTACTAGATTAAACAAGCCCCTGTTGTAATATAGCTGTTCGATGTACTTGGGTCCAGAGGGCGCAAACGTGGTTTCAGGTGCTGGACTACTTCCGGATGACGCCTCGACATTGAGAAGGGCGATGGTGACAGAGAAAAACTTGAGGGCTGATCTCCAACCAGAAAGTCCAGAGCGGGGGGTCGGATGGGGTGGAGGAGATGGGGTGGGGGATGGGATGGGGTGATGATGGGGAGGCGGGATGGGGTGGGGGGGGTTGGGGGTGGGGGGGGCTTGGGCGGAGGTGTGTGGGCGCGAAGGCCCTCCGCCCCTTGGCAAATAATGGGGAAATCAGGAAACATAATAGAAACACATAGAAACGATGGAAAGGCAAAAAAACTACCGAACCTCATCAAAAATGACCAAAGCAATGAAACATGATGAGCAGCGCTGGCAAGTGCGTCTAAATGTTCCAGTATGATTCGATGCAAAATCAAGAAAATAATGCAATGTGGTGAAGAAGGACGAAACATCTTGAAATGATGCCCAATGATGAAAGATCATGATGTATGGTGAAACTTGTTGGAAAATCCTGTACAAAACGATGGAAAATTACGAAAATTATGTTCTGGAGAGTGCGTCAGCGTGGGGGCTTGCTTTTACCGAGGAAAATGACATGCTTTTGTATGTTCAGCTATTTTTTGAAGACCCGAATAAAATGGTGGTTTCCATCAAGATCAGCATACGCTGTGTCATATTTCACAGAAGTTTAGGAAAATTCAGGCATAGGGAAGCACTCAGGCAAGAGGTTGCGTGGGCTTTCTCCTGGGCCTTGGCAATTTATGGCAAAGATCTTGATATGCCCACCCACACCCTTCTACCAATGCTCTCACGGAATATACCACTTCTGACAAAGATATCCATATACTTGCTGCTATTGTTGAGGACCCCTTGCATACCCAAGTCCAATGAATTTGAAAAGTCTTGGATGCAATGCCACAAGTTTCTATTAGGTCCATCCGCGCCATACCATGCCCAAGTTGTGTTTTTGGGGAAGGGCATGGTGCATGCATGTTGCTGTGACAGTGCTGTCCTGCAGCTCTCCCAAATCCAAGTCTAGCAATGATATCCACTATGTTGGTATAGGCCTCCTTTAGAATAGAAGCAAATCATCTGAATTCAATTCTGGGGAGGGCAAAGGCCTTCCCTAGGGTATGGATGCATCATGTGATTCCAGGACCCAGAACCCCGAGTACTTAGTGACATTAAGTAACATATATACATATCTCTGCATATATATATATATATATGTATGTGTATATATATATGTATACATAAGCTACCCCACCTCCATCCTACCATTCTTGGTTTTTTAGGGGTTGGTGATAGATGGAAACATGAAGAAGCCACTGTAATTTAATGAACAACCAGTATAGAGAGAGGGAGTGCAGGACATACCTACGAAACGAACACTTCAGACAAGAACCTTGCAGTGCATACCTTCTAGCGTGGTTGCGGTTCACCATGTGAAAACCTGCTTGCTTGTTTGCTACCTAGTCTCACAAGATGATGTGTCAACCAATTTGTATTTAGACGTGATTTTGGCCTTCTCCAAAAAAAATGTATCGAATGCTATCATTCAAAAGCCGAGCAACGGTGACTAACAAATGAGCATTCCTGGCATCTTCCATCTCCAAACATATGCAAGATCAAAGTTGGGGTTGCGCTTCACCGGCCTCTTCATTAATTTGATTTTAAACGGGATGAAGCCAAGACATCTAATTACATCTCATGAGTTCGGGTTCTTTGCTAGATAGGCTTCATCTAAGTAAAAGTACTAAAGGGTCCTGGACCATCCCATCAACTCGAAGCATACTTAGCAAATGCTTTGCTACGTACGCTTACTACGGGACATACAAGGAGAAAGCACGGAGCTCCTGAATTTATCTTGACACTCGACGCTCATTGAGTACGGGCTTGTCTAGAGAAACCAAGAAATCGCCACCAGTTTGGTATCATTTTACATAGATTAAAGAAAAGGAGCTAGAGACTTGTCCTTTCAATTCGAAGCACATTTAACACAGGATGTATATGCAGAAAGTCAGGAGCCCAGAACCTGAGAATCCCCTGTTAAATTCCAAACATATTTAGTGAAGGATCTTCATATGTAAAGACCGAGCCCGGCATTTGAGTTCTCAAATAGCCGAGGATCTATGACTTCGTCCAGTATCAGAGACTTGCCCTTGCAATTCGAAATCAATCTAAGATAGGGCTTATGTACAGACAATCAAGAGCCCAGAAGCTGAAAATTCGTAATGCAAGAAGAAGGAGCCGGTATCAGAGTCTTGTCCTTTTCATTCGAAATCCATTTAGTACAGGGTTCATATGAGCTACCATCTTGAGGTTGTTCTCTTGCTTAGCATCCCTTGCGAACGCAGATCCCCATGCACATTGCCTGCCAGACAAACACACTGCCTGAAAAGTTCAGGATCTAAATGGCGGCCCACCCAATCATAAATCGAAGGCAGAAAGCCATTAATTACTTTAGCAAGGAAGTTCGGCCTGCCAGAGCCTTTGACGGGCCGCAGCATCTTGAATGACCTGCTCCCAGCAGCTGACGAGAGTCATTTACAAAAAAAGTGTTCCAACCAAGAACACCAAGGTGACCTGCGGCATCTTCTGCCCGTCACCTACCAAATGCCCGCCTTAGCATGGATCGTTTTGGTTGGTCTAGGTACAAAGGGACACGGTGACTTCGGCAGCAATTCGATTTGTTGGCTGAGAGCACGGCTTTCACGTTGGTACTTGTCATCTACCATTGCCAAGTAAGATGCTTTTCGAACTCGTGGTTTTGGAAGATAGTCTGCAGTGCACGGGAAGAACACTCCAAAGAGAATGCCAGCCGGTGATTACCATCACTGGCAGTCACGCACATTCTGTATGTTGGAAGACTAGCCGACTGCTGCTGACATGCGCCTGAGCCCCTCCCACCGCTCCTACCCACACTGCCCAACTTGCAGGCAGACGCATTCTAGCGGGTAGAATGAGCTCAAGGCAACGGAAGTTGAAACTCCTGGAACAAACTGTAAGAACTCAGTGCAGCAATCAATGCACCAACAACTGAACTGCAAGGAGGCTGACATTTGAACAACAACAGGGATGACCAGATTGCCTTCACAGGCGGGATGGTTATTAAACTGTTGCCGGAGAAGTCCAGCTTGTCCACGCTGATCAGGAAACGGGAGCAGTGGGGAGGCCAGCTAGTATCTGCGCATCAGAAAACCCTGTGCCCTGTGGAAATAGCAACCTCAGGAGATCTCAAGAAAAAGGTCAGTGAAAACAAATTCCTGAAGGAAAATCACAAACAATTTTGGCCTTTTCGTCTTTTGCTGCATGGGTGCAAGCCTGTTGTACAGCCCAGTCGGGTCCCACACAGGCCACGGTTTGTTTTGCTGCGGGCGCGGGGAGGCTCACAAGAAAGAGAGTAACAGAAGTCACTCGACAGAGGCATCTGTCCAGAATGTCTCACTTTTGCCTTCGAGAAGTTCTGTTACTGTGAGCACTGACCGCTGAGAGGCCGGCATTCTTCTCTCAGGCCACGGCCCATTTTCCTGCCACCCTTGTGAGATGGCATCACTTGCCATAACATTGTAAATTGACTTATCTGAATCTAAGGGCTTGACCCCATAAGCAGCTCCTTGTCGCATGAGCTTTGTACTTGCCTCAGCATGCTGAGACCAAGGAAGCAAACTGCAACGCGCAATATCTCTCCGCACCTGGGCTTCTAGCCGTGCCTGGATTGAAGGTATGAAAAGTCAATTTTGGAGCATCTCCATATCGCCTCAGATTTGACTCCCTGAATCACGCACCCTAATGGCAGCCATTGGCAGGTTAGGACGCAGCAGGTGCATCTCTTTTGCGACCATCTCCAGACAGAGCTTGCCTGCGCATACATAGATCACTACGAGAATATAGTGGAATGAGAAGCAGCTGCTCCATCTCAGGCAAAGACTCAAGCGATAGGCGTGAAGCCCAGTCCAATATCGCCTGGCCAAGTTCCGGTCAAGTGCTGCGGTCTGTGCAGTTCTAAGCATCCCACTCGCACTTGAGGTCATCCAGGTAGTCAGCACCTTGCTTGACAAAACGTCCCAGACTACACTTCACTGCGTTGTCGGGGCACCTCCCATAGATGGTGACCTGAGCGTCGCTGGCTGTATCGCAGAACAATGAAGCTCAAGGCCCTTGCGTTGAAAACATGACTCGCGCGTTGCCGGCTGCTTGGAGTTGAGGCCTGACAGCAAACGAAGTGTATCCTGGAAGATTCTGGAATGAAAGCATGGGTGCCCCGCATTAACAAAGATGTCAGGTAGAATGGCGCCATCCTAGACTTGGTCGTCAGTTTCAGTGCAAACCATCCCTAAGCTTCAAGGCATGTAAGATCTTGTTTTCTTAGCCATGACTATGGAGAGAGATTAATGAATTCGAGCACGGCTCCGGTTCAGAGAAATGGCACAGACCACACTGCATATGATGCAGCTGTTCGCATGCATGCAGGTTTGGGGCCACCGGCTCTGGCAGCTTGTCTACGTGTTGTGGAACTTTCATGGGCGTTCTACGTGTGAGCGGCATCTCCCTCTGGCCATGTCAAAGTCGAATTACTTTTTGAGGCTCAAGCGCGTTGACTGCCATGGTTTGCTCAGCGTGGAACTCAGACAAGCAGCAGACTTGGCGTCATGCGACAATTCAATCATCCAAGACTTGCGCATTCCAGGTGTACTTCCTCTTCCCTGTAAAAGAGCCTGCAAGCCATCGATCTTTGAGATGTTCCTGCTTCACAGGTGAGCCCAAACCACCCTGTAGGTCACGAACCATCAATTGTAGCAGCGTTGTGGAGAATTCCATGTATCCGAGGGTGACGTTCCTTGATATGAAAAGACTCTGCCTGACTTCTGCAAAGACATGTGGAAAAGTCGCTCTGACGTACTAAAAACATCTGAGCATGCGCTGGGAGCACCAAGAGGCAGGCTGCAATCAAAGCTGCCAGTGCCTGCACCAAGCTTGCAGAAGCAACCTCCAAATTCAAAACATGAAAACCACTGAATTCCACGGCCTTCACATCTTCCATTTCCTGTAGGTCGCATTCAAAGCCATCGATCTTTTGCGTTTCGAAAGAGTCACCTCAGGATCTTTTGAATTCTGATCACTGATGCTCTGCGAGCAGAGGTTGATGCTTCGGTTGTAAGACGCATGCTTAGATCCATGAGGTGTCTCTTCAACAGGCCTGCAAGGCAAAAAATACCGATGCTGATTGGTCGTGTTTGACACTGGAATTCCGACGCAAGTGATGCCAGTTCCCCTGCCGACCCGCATCGCACTTCACGAACCCATCAGATTCTCATGCTATGCTCCTCATGAGGGCTTCAGCGCAAAAGTTGACAGGATTTGGAGAACTAAAGGCTCATATACTCCACTGGCCAAGCGACACCCTGGTTTTTCGAGAACTGAGCCTAAGCCTTCTTGCAAAAGAAAGATCAGACCAACACAGCTTGAGTGGAAAGCAAGATCATACGGCCGTCCATCTACCAAAGCGTTTTAATGGCCTTCTGCTCTGCCATGGACTAAGACCTGAACCAACGTGGCCAAAGGCAATGTCAAGCATAGACACAGGCAGCGCGCCCAGTTTATCTGGGATTGCGGCCGTGCATCCAGAGTCAAGAAGTCGCTTGGCAGTCTGTAGGCCTTGTCTGTCACAGCTTGCTGCGGCATGCTGCAGCAAATACTCCACTGATATCAACTGAGCCTACACTGAACTGAGGTAACAGCCATGTCCATGGGTAGCGCCGGTGACCAGAATGACACGGTCTTCTAGAGGAGGCCTGAAGAGGCAAGAGTGGAGACAGATCAAAGCCTCTAGCATCCTGCAAGCTCTGTGAGCGGCATTTCTGGGTCCACCAGCCCTTGGAACAGACCATCAACAAGCTGAAACACAAACGCTTGGCTGAAGAGCAAGATGCAGTGCACTTGAGGATCTCTCCTCGCCCCTCTTCTACCAGTTCTGGACCTGCGAACTTCTCAAGGAGCAGAGTCAAATCGCGAAGCATGCCTCGCCTCGCCGGAAGGTAGGCCCAGCCTCGCAGAGAATGCTCACAAGCTGGTGGTACGACTGTGAAGTTCGACTTCTGCACAGAACAGGTTGCTTGATATTCATTGCATTCAACAATTCAACATGTGTCAGAACACCCCATGCAAAGGCCGCAAGTCAACAACAAAACATGTGAGCTACGGTGAATAGTTCCCATATCATTAAAGGACATGGATTGATACTGGGGAACACATTAGGGACTATACTAAGCAACCAAAGGGGCCCGGATGTCAACCCTTAATGGTCCCCTTGTAAGCGGAACGTCGACAGTAGCCCATGCGCTAGATGGAACTCCGCTTGCCGAGGCCGCCGTTCAACAACTACACATGTCTTAGAGATGGAACGCTGCTCGCAGAGACCGAGAGCAACGCCACCAGCTATGGAAGAAGTTCACCACATGGTGGTGTAGCAAGGTGCAACAAGAAAAAACCGTGCTGTTCTCTGCTGCCTTCCGAGCCCCTCACGTGCTTCCGGCGATTTTCAAAGGCAGGGATCCATCTGACACCATCCGGTGTTGCTGCAGCCGTACCAGCTACCTCACTTCTCACTTCTCATTTCGGAGGAGGGATGCGCAGCTGCACATCGACTTTCTACTGACCATGGAGATGCAAAAACAAACAGCTACTAGATGACTAGGAAACCAGCAGGTGGTCTGCTAGGCATTGCAAATTGCGACATACTCTAGAGATGGAAGGAGTTGAGCGCTGCATTCGCGGTCAGGCTGCCTGCAAGATCACCAGGAGAGCACAGCCGAGACTCGCGAAAACCACAGACACCTTGAGATGTGGGACATTGTGGGACTGGATCGATTATGGCCACGACCCACCATGAGTCAGACCAGGGCCAGCACGCTGGCTTCCAAGCGCATTCCTGCCAAGAAAGAGCTGAAGATAGGAAAAATATCAGAAATGAGAGCATCCTTTGGCAGCTTGAGGCCAACGTGTGTGGTACCTTGCCAGATCACCACAGTGAAGCCACAAAGGAAACAAGCTACTCAGCTTGCGCACCAGGAGCACCTCATCCGCACCATTTGGCTGGTATACCAGCTACAGACAAGTTATCAAATCCAGTGAAAGCGAACGTCCAAAGATGGCTTCATAACCTTCTTGTGTGAGCCATGTCAAACACCCATGCAAGATGATCCTTCTCATGAAACGTGGCCACCCGCCGATGGCTACCATCCCACTGTACATCAGCTGTGCAAGCCAAGAGCTAGCAGCAAAACGATGGAGCTACTTTGTAATAGTGGCCGTCATGAGGCCTTGGTCGAGCAGACATAGCTAGTAGTTGGAGAGGGTCGCCTTGCAGCCTGTAGTTTCGTACACTTTCACGACGTTTGGCACGTTTCTGGAGTTAGGGGGTTGGGGGGATAATGACGTAGCTTAAAATGTCGCGTGTGCTGCTGCCTTTGCTGCTGCTCTGCAGCTGCTGCCTTTGCTGCTGCTGCTGCTGCTGCTGCTACTGCTGCTACGGCTGCTGCTGCTGCTGCTGCTGCTGCTGCTGCTGCTATGTCTCTGCTTTACATATCGTTTCCCCAAAGGACCCCTGTGTGCTATGGTATGAGGTCGTTATAAGGTTGTTGGTGTTGCTGCTGGTTTTGCTTTTGCCGCTACTGTGCTTCCGCTTTATCTAGTGTTTTGCCAGAAGGCTCCTGTACTTCAAGCTAGAGGGACATATTCATGTGGGCTTTCATGCGCTTTCTGGCAACGGAAGCTGAGAGGCGGTTAAGTAAGGACCCTGCCGACAGCTTTGGCGTTTTGGCTTGCGAATGGAACGCCGAACGGAACAGAGCTTAACTAGATGTAAGCGGAACGACAACGGACACGCGGAAGTGTTATGCAGCAAAACTGAACGCAGAACGGAAAGGAAGGGAGAGGCGGGGAACCCTGATGTACAAAATTCTACAAATTTGGGTAGGTGTATAGCTACTAACTGTTACTAAGTACAAGTTGCAAGGGACAGTGTCCATTGAGGAGATGGTAGCTGCGTTGGGCAGTTCATTTTGAAATGGGCATCGCCGCAAAGAGTGCTTGGAGCAATTTGTGTTGTTGGCAGCCACCAACCTCGCATTTGGCATCAGCAAAATACATAATTAAGTGTTTTGAATCAAAGGAAGCAAATGCAACTGCCTTTTGCAGCTGCACCCTGGTTGTGTGTAGTAGCAAGGAAAACCAGTGGAACTTATACCTCGCATCATGTGGATGCTGGGAGAATCCTGCAACCGTCCCGCATCAGATCAGCTCAAGCCAGGGCTATGCAACGGTCACGTTTTTTCACACTCCGCTTTCGAGCTCTCTTGCGCTGGCCTTGGCCACTGCAAAGGACGCCTCACAGCGACAAATTAAATGCAGCTCTCAACTTTCCTGCAAATTTTCCAAATCTAGGAACATGTGACTTAAAAGCAACATCACAATACCTCTCATCTGTGCTGGGCGACTAAGCTATCTCCTGCTGCGTTCGAACATCACTGACAGGCTACCCTTCTATTAGTAATTATTAGTAGTTACTAGTAGCATAGCAACTGGGGATACCCTGCCCCCCCCCCCCCCACTTCAGAAGCTGCCCGAGATAAGCAAGACAAAGTGTGCGAAACTTAATCTGTCACGGCTGATAATCCCAAGCACGGACAATGTGTTTTCTGTCGCTGATTCTACGTGAAGGATTCGCATGTGTTCTTGGTGCTTGAATACTTCCAAACCGTTTGCAGAGCAAGCCACAATCGCAATTGAATCCATACGGCAGCAGCTGATTCCGTCGCTGCGTCGTACCCATAGCTTTGTGGTCTTCCTGCATTCACAGCAGGCTGACACTTGTGGCAAACAAACTGCCTCTCCTCGGCATTCAGTGACGAGTCGAGATAGGAGATGGTAAGTTCAACGCCTCCAAAACACACACGCAGACACAAGCATGTTTTGTCCTGCTTTCCTCAACCTGCTAAGGGTTAGGGTCGAGAGCGTTGCTGCAACAACATTGCATAGCTGCACCTGGCTTGATGTGGTCATAAGGCTGCTGTAGAACAAATATTCGCCCTGAGAAGTCAAACTCGATTCCGCAGCTGGGTCGGCAGCTGTGGTTCATCAAGGCCTCAAGTCAAAGAGAGCATCATAGCATGTCTGCACGCTCAGGTGACTGCAGAGGATAAGCAAACGACCATTCGAGGGAAAATCGCGTAGCCACGGAAAGGCGGAATTAATGACGTTGAGAAGTTGAGCGGCTCTGCACCTGCATCCACGATCCAGGATATTGTTCTCTCCTCATCCTCGCCAGCCGCCTGTCTCAGTCAAAAAAGATGACATGCCGCAGCAAAGACAAAGAAGCTTCGCCCGACCCAGCCTCGTCATCACTTATATTGGTCTCAGGTGGCTTCAAGGCCCGAATCCAAGGCTCTAGGGCACGAACTGCGGAAGTTTTTGCTGGGCATTCCTGCATGCCATCAACTTGAAGAATATGTTGCAACACCGGCGAGACGTATGCCACAACCGTGCAGTTACAACAGAGCGCGCCCAGCAGCTTGGCATAGCCCATCGGCTCCAGAAAACTCTTTAAACCAACTGGCACATCAGTCAGGCCACCCAAAGCCTTCAAAGCCAGCCTGCGGGAGGTCTCTGTCTCCTTCTGCAATTTCACTTTGAACGCTTGAGCAGCCTGTGGGTCCGAAGGCATGTCAATTGCTTCCCAGTAAAGTCTGGAGCAAAGAGCTTTTAAAGGGTTTGCATCCATCTCCGCCACGCACCAGCAGATGAGCTTCAACGCCAACATATGGAAGACGCAGCCGACCTTCCTGGAGTAGCGAAAGAACCGCCGCGCTAATCTCCGTTTGCGTCTCAGACGTCCTAGGATTCGCTCGTACTCATCGTGGCAGCCAGTGCTGCAGAACGTTGGCAAAGTCTTGGAGAACAGCGGCCGTCCGTGGATGATTTCAGATAGGCAATCGTTTAAGACATCACCCTCGGCGCATCTTTGCAGACCAGTTAGCTTTTGCAGTTGCCATGCTGGGCTACCCAACACGTGTCCACATAGGGCACAAGCGAGACCTTTTGCAACAGAAGGCGAAACTTGGATAATCCGTCCTAAGGACGATTCAGAGAAGACCACTGCAGGTTGCCCCAGCGGCACCAGTGTTGCATATAATCCCCGTCCACGATTTGCTGTATTTCGAACCTCAAAGGCCTCCCCAAGCAAGCGATGCAGATACAACTCAGTCATGCTGATATTGACATATGAAGACTGCAAAGATCTATTGCTTGAGAAATGGCTAATCGGCACAAGCAACGTCAAAGCAGACTCCGTGCAAAGCACCGCGCAAATTCTGAAACCTTTTGTGAGTCCTGGCCCGCGGATGGCCCAGATTTGCACAAACAGTTGAGGCAGGCTTGCTAGGTGGCTCAGGCCGAGTCAAAGATGATGCCTGCCCCAGGTTGTTGCAAAAACTTGCATTCAAGCCGTCACCAGCTGCATGCCCCCCGGAGCTTGGCTAGCAAAAGCTGCAAAAAGATTATCGATTAGTTTGACTGTGGCGCTCGTGGCATAAAAAAAAAGTTGGGAGTGTCCGACATCCCATGCACATTTTCAGCACTACTGAATCAGCAAAATGATGATGATGATGATGATGATGATGACGATGATGATTGTGAATCCATGAGAGTGTGGCAGGCACGAACCTTCAGTTGTGCCATCTGCGGCCCATATCAGCGGAGAGGGAGGGCGTGGCAAGCTTGACCAGCCAAAAAGGTAGAGCCCAGTGTGCCTTCAGGCCTTAGGGGCTACGGTGGACAGGGTCCATAGGACAGGGTCTTCTTCTACCGGTTTCATCAGGGGCAGGATCCTCCAACGGGGTTTACGGGGACCGGGCTCCTAGGCGGGGTCCTAGGAAGCATTTTCAATGATGATGATGATGATGATGATGATGATGATGATGCAGCTCGTTAACTGTAAAGCTGGCCTGCCCTTCAGAATTCTACAGATCACAAACAAGATAACACTGTAGTATATGTAGCCCAAGGATTCCAGGACCCAACTACTTTGAACTTGCAGCGGCACTCCAAGAGTTTTCCGGAAACTGTGCAGCTGTGCTTGAAATACCCAGTCTACAAGCACTTCTTCGTTGCCCGTTCAAATTCACAGCAGGGTGCCTGCTGTCAGCAACCCCAGGGCCATGGAGGTGGCTTCAAGCCGTGTTGCGTGGCTGGATGTGGACAAGGGCTAGCAGCTAGCTCTCCCCTTGAACAATGTGCAGCTAGAAGCTCAACTTCGGCATTGTTTGCTCTCTTGAGAGGTGTCCCTTTACAAGTCGCTGTGCGCAGTGACATGCCAGGGCTGCTTACTTCATTCTTCATCTCTTGCAGATTGTATCACACTGCGACCAAGCGAGCTTTGAGACGCCGAAAGCCCCAGTTGCCAACCTTGTATCAGACTTTCAAAGCATGGCTGCATAGCAGCATGCAGAAAGTGGAAACCGATAGGTGCGGGGCATCCACGTCTGCAATCCGCTCAAAGTCGCCATCCACCTCCTACAAGTAACAGCAAGCCATAGCCACGCTCTACAGAGGAGGACTTGGTCTTAAGAGTCTTGGCCCATCTGCCATGCTGCCTCACAAATCTGTGCTGAGCAGCAGGCTATGCATCTGAAGCAGGTGCACAGGTGCCGCAGCCTAAACCGGGTGCTTACCCAGGCTGGTGCACAAGGCTGCAAGAACAAGTCAAGTCCAGCTGCGCCAAGCGCAGTTCCAGCTTGACCAAACCTGAGCTCCAAACTGAACAGCTAGCGAGCCCTAGTTGTCTCACGAGAGTCATAAAAGCAGCACTTTGGTCAGCGCAGGTCCGTCTTCAGTCTGACAGTCGATGCACTATGTAACAATGCTTTCAACACCATGTTTTACTCTGCCCACCCGTTGGGAGCCAGCGCCCGTTCTGTAGGACACGTCATTGTTCCTCGCTGGGTGGTGGGTAATAAAAGACGTGACTATGATCTACCCTGCTTAACCACTTTGTTCTGGGGACCTTTGCCTCAAGCTCCCGGGGTTCAATTCAACGAGTTTGCATTTTGAGTCGGCTCGGGTCTTGGCGCTATGATTTTTTGCCTTGTGGTTTGCCTGCGCATATTCATGGTCTGTTGCTTGCTACCCACGATCTTTTGCTATCGGCCGTCTACTTCCTTGATTTCTAGGAGTCAGGTTGAAAGGCTGAAGGCCTGCCATGAGGCCTGGGTGTTTGAATACCTTCATGTTCCCCAACTGTTGGTTCTTACATGCTATATTGTCATTTCAGATGTAGAAACTAGCTTGGGCCTGCGTTTTACGGTAGTTCGAGATTTTGTTAGATAAGATTCAATATGAACAAGACTAGTGTGAGCGAAAGATACAATGTACAGAGTTACATGACTGGGAAGAAGCCGATACATTTGGATAACACTGTTTTCATGAATGAATGCAAGGAAGCATGAGGACCGATTGGTTTTCATCATGCACATCCCTCCTCTTCCTAGTGATGATCCCTAGAAAATGCGCTTGATAGGCATTGCCGATAGGACCGTTGATCACGTCTCTAATAAGTCTTCCAACTGGGAATAGACTCAGCGGGGCTTCGAATGTCAGGTTTGGTCACTCAAAAACAAATTTCTTCGGATCAAACAAATTAAAGTCAAGGATCAAAAAACTTTTAGGATTGAGGATTGCGGTGCCTGAAAACTGTACATGGCACGATTCAGAGGATATAAAAAATTGAATCCAGATCAGGTACATCACGAAAAGGATGAAAGTATGGAAAGACCATGGCAATCAGGATGAACAATTAGAAAATTGAACAATGATGAATAACAATGGAAGACAAGAATGACAACTGGTGAAACATGATGACACATGATGAAATCTGCTGAAATATCACGCAAAACCCTAGGCCCATGTGAAGATGATGGGAAAGATGCCAAATCATAATGATGACGATGATGAAAAAGCATGGAAGACAATGAAAACTTCTGAAACATGACGAAACTGTTGAAAAATGATAACTGATTAAATATGCTGGACAAGGGGAACCATGATGGGATCTGCTAATAAATCATGAAAATGTGACAAAATTCTGAAACATGGTAAATATCATGAAATAACATGATAAACGATGGAGAATTATGAAAGATAACGGGAAACCAGCAAAATGCCAAAAAATGATAATTCATGATGAGAAAGCAATGAAAATGTCAAAACATGCGGAAAACTGTTGAAACATGTTGAAACATGAACGAGAAAAGCCTCTGCATGCTGTCCTTGTACCTTCGGAAATCAATGACAGCTGATGAATATGGAAAAATGAAGAAAGCTGCAAAATCATAAAGCATGAATAGGGCGAAGTCTGGGATAGAAAACATGTGGGTGTTGATGACGCACTGTGAAACATGATGGAGATCGATGAAAAGGTGAACAGACATGATGGCATAAGATGAAAACATGGGAAATGATGAAGGTTCATAAAAAAATGGCGAAAAACTCCTCAAGATTAAAGGGCCGGAGAACCCCACATGTGTAGTTAAACCTGGATCTAACTGATATGATATTAGGAAGCTGTCGCGCAGCGAAATAAGAAGGCGCGTATAGAGCGAAGATAAGAGGACAACACAGTGATCCGCGACGAACCGACGAGCATGTGGTGCGAGTGCGAATGAGAATATGAATTTTGTCATGTATGTATAGATGTATGTACGTATGTATGTATGGTATCCAGGTAAATGTGGTTCGCACTGTACATTTGTTTTGAGTTTCGCAGTGACACTTCGAATTCTCCACTTTTACTGTTAGTCTCTTTTGCCTTGACCCTTCCAATTCTCCACTTTTACAGTCAGACTCTTTCGCCTTGACCCTTCAAATTCTCCACTTTTACAGTTAGACTCTTTCGCCTTTACCCTTCACATTCTCCACTTTTTCGGTTAGACTCTTTCGCCTTTACCCACCGAATTCTCTACTTTTACGGTTAGACT